CCCATCACTAATTAATTAATAACTCACTAATTATACGACATAATTCATCCAAAATCGATAGGCTTCTGGTACGACATATGATGAATGAACATGAAAAATCTGGAGCAGATTCAATCTCGCTTTCGTGAGATATCGCGTGCATCTAACAGACACATAGACAAATACCTATCAACATACTTACTGATTAAATTCGATAAGTAACAATCCATATGGACATTTCGTCTCCAATTACTCTTCGTCGTCAAAAAATGATCTAGTAGTCCATAGGCTCTTAGAGTGTATCGTGATACTCCTGGGATTGTTTAATTTTAATAGAGGGGTCAATGTTCAATCCCAATTTTGTATGACTAAAATGTTTTACAAATATGTCACTACATAAACGCTCTACTAAATTGCCAATATAGGCCTACAATGTCATTATAATAATAATAACAACAATATAACTACCAAAAATAGAGTTAGACAACGCACAAAATACATTGACAGTCTGAATAACTACAACGTGGAAAGAATCCTCCAGCAGTGAGCTCATCAGGAGAACTTACAACAGATAGGGATGGACGGCCTCGATTGCCGATTTCAGCTGCAGACATGAACAAGAAGAATGTGATGTCATAATATACTTTGAAAGAACGAATCATACTCAAATCCATTTTCTTTTGGGTACTCACAGTTTTTCAGACGCATCAAATTCTGCTTATCACAACATGTGAAAGTGAAATCAGTGGTATATTACCAGGTATCAGATTTAATCCAATTCAGAATTACTAGTTCCTCTCCGAACGAGAGCTTGAAACGAAAAAAGCGGTCGCGAAGAACATCGACTTTTGTGATTTGAAATGGCCCCAGGGCGATTACATCTATTTGAACCGCAAATTTTATAAATCGAATTGAAACTTTTTTTACGCTTTTTCTTAATAATTTGTTCAAACAATCTTTCATTATCTAATGCAACCATTTTTGGTATCAAATGTTGTAATTCGAGATGACAGCTGTATAAATACCCTTCAGAACGCTCGTTTTGCATCAATTTCCGAACAGACAGTAAAAAATGAGGTCTTTTACGGTATTATTGTTACTTGGGTTGGCAATGGTCGCCTTGGTAGGCGCAGCCAGTATGGAAGAGCCCGAGAAACCAGTGGGTGGTGCAAAAACTAAAGGTGAGGCTGGGGAGGATGACGTCACGATGAAAGGAGAAACAGGTTATGGTGACGGCGAGACATCGGACGATAACGCAACAATGGGTGGCGATGACGCAACAGTGGGTGGTGATTCTCCAGATAGTGACGACACAATGGGTGATGACAACGTATCAGTTTCAGAACCTACCCCGCCAGCAACTCAAAGATGAGTCTTCATAACTTCTGATTAAATCTGTTGAATGCGTATTGAGCAATATTTTATTGGAAATTATTTTACGGCAAATCTTCTATTCCGCATTAAATGGTTTTCTCACAAAAGATACAAACAAGTATAAAAACTTTCGACTTTGGACATTTTCTCTCCCTTCGGAATAAATATGAAAATCATATAGCAATTGAGACCCAAAACGTATCGTCTAATTCTCTTCACCATCGAATGTTAAGAATATTTTGCGCCTATTGTTTATTCAAATGATTTTCCGAAAAGTTGAATTCTGCATTCCATAGCTGCTAGTCTTGTATATTATTAAGTATAACAGTGTTTTAAGTACATTGTATTATATTAGTGGAACGACATATATTTATGATGATAAATATATTTCAATATTATCGAAAATGTATCAAAATTTATTGTGTATTATTTTTTCGGCAGTGAGAGGATATTAAGATTAGACTTGATATATTTTACTTGGGCGAGGAGAAAGTGGATTTTTCGTACAAAGCCCCCACCACCGCCAATATGTATATAATAGTAATTATTCGTTTGGATTAGGGCCTGGAATGCAGATTGCGCTGGAAATTCGAATTTTTAAATCATTCCTAACCATAATTGGATAATTGCTAATTTGTTATTAAAACGTGGCGGGGGTGTTTTCGGAAATCATGAACAACACAAAATCATCGCTCAGATTCAGAGTTCGCATGAGAAAACACAATCAAATATTGCCTATACCAGTGCTACGTAACCAGTGAGTCGCGAAGCTATTCAAGGCGGGTCGCGTAGTTTTCAATTAAATCGAGAAACTGTGGCATTACGTAACAATCACAATTATGCGTCATTATCAGACTTGGTCTGATAATATCCTTCATAAAAATTCCAAGTTTCGTATCAACAATAAAATGCATGGCGATACATTGTTCCTTTTCACATTTATTAACATCTCGTTGACAGAAATCACAGAAAAAAATGGCAATATAAGTGGTTCGTGAACTTAAACAGGCTAGGAAGCCCTGGCCTAACCACATATGAAAGGATTTCTAATCATGAAGCCTTGCGGTCGCTTATTAAGTTTTTTTAATCGAGTTCTCCCTTTTCGCTGCAGCTACACTTTTAAATTAAACAAGACTTCCGGCAAACAGCTATGCCAATATGCAAGAAGCCACTTTTTAGCGAAGAACCAGGTGTTTACGATTCGACATTGCTTGATGGGCGTAGAGCAGTGATTCTCAACCCTTTTTCTTCCGTGGCCCACTTTTGTTGCACAAAAAATCTGTGGGCTATCAACTTTCTCATACAAGGGAAAAATACAAACAAAACAAAAATTTTGCAAAGATACTAACGAACTAATTGGGGAGAATTTTTGTACGACCTGGAAGACATAAAATCAACCTCAAAACGTCCCTGTGTTCGTACTAGAGCAGAGTTTTTCAAACTTTAGGTGGTATGGAATCCATGAAGAGGTTGGAACTTACAGATGATGTCATATATATTTGAATTACCGCCTCGTTGCCACATTTCGTTGACATGATAAGCATGATAAGCGAAAAAACAAGTTTTGGTATGGCACAAAAGTAAGACTTGAGAGGACGATATGGCGTCATATAAAAAGTAAAACTAGTACACCACTGCATTAATTGCACAAGGACTTTACCACGAAAAAACTACTTTGATCATAACAAGCGAAAAAACAAGTTTCGGTGTTGGCACTAAAGTAAGACTTGAGAGGACAATATGACGTCATATAAAAAGTAAAACTAGTACACCACTGTATTAATTGAACTAGGACTTTACCAAGAAAGAAATAACTACTTTAATCATGATAAGTAAAAAAAAAAAGTTTCGGTGTTGGCACAGAAGTAAGAAGTGAGACGACAGTGTGACGTCATATAAAAAGTAAAACTAGTACACCACTGTATTAATTGAACTAGGAAATTACCAAGAAAAAACTACTCTGATCACATGTGCAGTAGAAACTGTTCTCTTGTATGGATCAGAAACGTGGACACTCACAAAGGCAGCAAACCAGAAGCTGAACGGCGCATACACAAAAATGCTTAGAGTAGTTAAAGGAGTAACATGGTAGAATAAGATTCCAAACTAAACGCTATATGGTAAATTACCAAGCATCACAACCATAATAAAGGAGAGACGCCTTAGATTCAGCGGCCACTGCTATAGAAACAAGAAAGAAATCGTACATGAACTGATTCTATGAAAACCAAAACATGGGAAAAGAAGCGTGGGTAGACAGCGACGTACATATATATATTAATCAACTTGAACAGGACACGGGAATACCATGGGAGAATCTTGCCAGTGAATCCGGAGTAAACTTTATTATACAAAACAAAACGACATATCACATAGCTGGCATAGAATTACAGTCTATCAAAAACATGTCATAAAAGAATACGAATTAAAGGCAGTCACATATATACGATAGTTATGTACATGCTACGGGATAATCTTAACGATTGACAAAATCAGACGACAACTTTTATAACGATAATCAATGGGATCGTGGTCATCAATTCTCAAGAATCTTACTTTAAAATTGTTTTTTAGTTAGGAAAATAAATGATAAGTAACTACAGAACAAATACCGATAGAGAATTTTTGTGAAACGACTGTTTTTCATTTAGTTTAAACAAGATCACAAGAATCCATATAAATTTGAAAATGTATCTTGACAAAGAAGTTTATGATTTCATTTGCAAAAGTCAGTCAAGTTATTTAAAACGGCAACTTTACCACCAAACGAAACGTTTCAAATGCGCTTCTCGCCATTAGCAATCTAACTATCAAATTCTATTTTTAAACGTTGAAGCTAATCAATGGAATAGGGTGGATAGGTGAAGTATTTATAACATGCTTCAGCCGATTTAGTACCACTGACAATCACCTATTTTATTTCAACCATGGACAGCGGCGAATATACGAAGTGATTTTGTCGTGTTCATATCATTTACAGTAAGCCATGACACTTTCCATCTATGTATTCCACTCTCATGCTCACGTGTCTCTGCCATGTTTGAGGATGAACTCGAATGTATCGAGATATTATTACATGTGGAAACATGTTGGTGACCTTGGTGCTCCTGTCACTATTTCCAGTAAACACCTGGAAAAAGTCCAATATAGTAATCATCTCAATAACATATCACACAAAAATTTATTTTCTGTAAAATTGATTGTGCAAGTAATGCACATAAATTATGTCACGCTTTTATATTCATTCACTCTGAGCAAGTCTATGTACAAATTGCGGCACTCCCGAAGTATGTGGATCAAGATGGCGGACACTGGCAAGGTTCATCAACCCTGCAAGCACTGGGACATAGAGACATCTCATTGTTGTCAACTACATTTGAAATTTGTGTTTTACAAACCTCGTCCTAACGAACTGGTGTCTAATATATTGTGCATTTTATCATATAAGTCTGTGCACAATGACTCAGAAATTCCTTATCAGAGCAACAACCGACAGCTTGTTAGGTTTAAAATGTGTTGATTATGTTTTAAATATATACGTAAAGAATATCTCAAAATACTTCCTTACCTTGTCTAAACCGTTCTCACGTATTACGACCATCGCGCCGGTGGAATTTCCATGCGAAATTTTGAAAGACGAAACCCATTTATCGTGATATACTCGATACGATTCCTCCTATTGGTTTAGTTTCACCAAAATCAACCTGGTGCCATTCTCCTTTCACATCTATAAAATAATTGTTCATTGATTTGAATATTATATCAATTGGGTATGATTTACCTTCCTCGCCCACATTTTGATTGCATCACTTTTTAAATGCTGGTAATTTTGCGACGGGCAGAGAAAATAACCCGTAAACAAATTGCGCCACAAAAGCAGTAGCGTTAAACAACCTTAAATAATAAATTCATCTACAGATGCCCCAAAATATTGCCTGATTTGTTTTTCCCTTTCAAGTTTGGCACAGATTAACAATGATAATTTCGGGTTGATAAAGCCAAGAAAACTAAGTCTTTCCAAAATGGGTTATTGTCATAATTTGGTGCCAAACAATTCAGAATTTGTTTTGAGGCGTGTATCATTACCTCGGTACTCAATTACTATTCGTTTGAATTTTATTTAAAGACATCTTCAAAATTTCAAGAATTTGTGTAAAGCATCAAATTTAAATAACCACCCTAAATATACTTACACGTGTAACCAAATTGTAAGGCTATTCTAATTATAGAAAATTAACACACACTTACTTCTCGCCGCAGACCAGATTGGATACGTTGTTGATGAACGATCAATATTGTCCAATCTGCCATTATGAGCTTGATGCCGGGTACTATATTCGGATGACGCTGCGATTTGAGAGTCAGGAATTATGTGACGATATTTCACACCCATGTAGCAAATCTCGGCTGAAATTCAATTAGTATAAGTTACCACAGTATGTATGACATTCAATTTCTATATTTTAAGTCATTGCATTTTTATGCGAAAACCGATGCGCGATCAGCTGTTGTGAATCACCATATTTTTAAATTTTACTCGATGATATATTCTGGGTTATGGTAGATAGGATAAACTGTATCTAAAGGTTAAATAAAGAAAATGTGACGACATACCGTATTCAACCTAATCTATAGTGCGGAACAGATAAATCAGGTTATATTGCATCTTTTTTGGACTGTTGAAATAGGTCCCGAAATGGGTTCATTAGCCCTGCTTACACTGTGTTTGTATAAATCACCCATCCAAATATAGTTGCTTATATTTTCGTTGTTTTATTATAATAAAACCTAAAAAACTATAATTTTATTTTCTATTAACCTATTGAAATCGAAACTAAGAAAATACAATAAAACCTTTCTATTTCTTCCGAGAACGCTTACCATTCGTCATCATCTTCATAAGCTCTTTGTTCTTCAAAACTGAATCTTGAAAATAGAAATAAATACAAACAGGAATGTTAAAATATGAATTATATTTATGCTTATCTAGCATATGAGATCTTACAGTTGGAACCAGGCCTTTTAACAACTTGAGTATATTAAAAAATAGGGGCTCCCGAAGTATGCGAACCAAGATGGCGGACATCGAAATGTAATATGTGTACTAGGTTAGAGTTAGGCCATAATTTTAGGTATAAATACTACGGTAGGCTCTTGGCTAGTCTTCGAACTGATAATAGGACTAAAATAAGGAAAATTGGAAAAAAATTTTTGCCTAACCCTAACCTGTTACCCATGTTACGTTCCGATGTCCGCCATCTTGGTTCGCATACTTCGGGAGCACCAAAAAATATTTTAAAAGAACTGTAACATATCGTCACGCTAATAACCGAATTGCGTAAGTCATTTTTAGCAGTTTTGAGAAAAACGTAAAAAACTTCCTAATGATATTGTTATGCCATTGAGAGTCAATAATTTGCCATGGTTCAATTTTTTGATCGTAGCCGGATTTAGGTTAATTTGTATGACGTAGTTAAGTGACGTCATAATGGCGCACTGTGACTTAGGCAGAAATGTGTCTATGACTTGGGGACGTACGCAATTTTGCAACTTGGCTATATGCACCAGTCCTGAAAACTAAACATTCCAAAAACGAATGTAATTCTCAGTATCTGGAATGTCTAATCCCCAAAATAGCTAATCATTTTCAATTAAATTATTTTTTACGTTTAAAAATATATATTTCATCAATATAACACGTTCTGCACACCCACCGAAATAAGGTTAAGATTAAATATAAAGAATAAAACAACAATGCATCCAATATAAAAGCCAACCAAGGTGAATTGGACTCGGACAGTGAATATCCAAGTGCACGCCTTCCTATACTGTAGTATAAATTCAAATTAATACGCGCTAAGCTAGAATCCGAAAGGCAAAAACTCGAAAATACTTCGCCGAGGTTATTTTGCCTTTGTGACGTCACAATAGTCCCGCGGTAACAATGATAATTCATTATGACAAAACAATTGCTCAAATGTGCATAAATCTCCTATTTTATGAGTTTCGGAATTCTTAAAATAAAATCTGAGTTAACAGACAGGTGCGCAGCATTACATAAATACCTATTTTGTAAAAAACTCAAAATCGCCAAAAATGACTTACGCAATTCGGTTATTAGCGTGACGATATATAAATTGATGAAAAACCTTCCAACTTTCTAATCCTTTCTTCTATATGTCCCACTGTTCCGGGTTTCCCCGGTTCTCCATTTATCCCCGGTTCTCCCTGTTCTCCTTTAATTCCGGGTAATCCACATGGTCCTTCCATTCCTCTTTTTCCTGGTCTTCCTTGACACTGACTCGAATCACATCGTGCACGACTCACATTGCTGTTCGCCATCACGTGTGAACAAAATTCATCCAATGTCGGCATATGACATAATACACAGGAAAACATAAATACCAAACAGGCAACAGCGAGAAATTTCATGATGGATATATTGTATGAATAATACTGAGAGAGAGCATAAAAACTAAGGAATGTCAACCGCATGGAAATCCCAAGTTGGAAAGTCGTTCCACGTGGAATTCAAGACTGTAAGGTTAATAATTCCATGAACACTTCAGGAGCAGGGGGAGAACTGAGAGTTATTATTATCTAGGAGCGTAGGAGGAATATTTGGGTATCCGCATTAGTGAACAAGCTACTTCATAGTTTTCCACCCATAAAAATGAATTATTCAAAGACCTTTGCTATGTTGGTGTAATTCATTAATAAAATGATTTTTGCTAAAATCAGCTTCCTGCACGGAGTGAAGGTATGACAAAAATTTGAAATATCTGAAGTACTTCATAATAAATTTTTGAATAAGTCAAGAATCTAATCAAATTCAATATATTATATCTCTTCTCCCAGTATCTCTTTAGCAATATATTCCGTTCAAGTAGAAACTCATCTCTAACAACCGGCTGGGATTGAAATATCTTGAAATGAAACAGCGCGCCGAGTAAATGCTTTTAACGAACTAAGTTAAATATCATAGAATCAGATACTCTACCAGCTACCTTATAGGCTAGAACTCTTTTGTGTGGTTGTTCCTTCAAAAATGTAGGACGCACGTCGTTTACGAACGCACGTCGTTTACCGTGTTTGCAGTTTGTGTTATGTAAAATTTTAGAAAAATGTGAGACAGAAAGTATTGTTGAAGTAAACTGAGTCAGATAAAGTAATTAGGTCGTAACCTAGGCCATTCTCCACGATCCTTGGTATCTAAATGCAATAATTCAAATGAATACTATTTAGAGCCGTGGAAAAAGTACAAAAACCGTCATGGGTAAGTATTTTTGCGGTCATGTGACGGGGAAAACAAAAGCGCCTTGTAACAGAAACATGCCCTAAAATGAAAACAAGCAAGGTAAATATCATATATATATCTGAATACAATGTACCCAATAATAGCAAAACTTGCTTTTAATTTCCTCAACTTTTTCATGACGACATACTCATTTCAATAGGTTCATCATTGCCTAAATTTATGCGTGTAACGTTTATCTCTATACAAAGTACTGGCTTACTAGTCGACATATCAACTCTGGATGAGGTCAAGAAAATTTTTATATGTAGGATGAAGGCGATTTATTTATATGCATCCTTACCTGTCTACATGAAGTTGCTGTTAGGTTGATATTTGCAAAATGATATTTTCCCAAATTACTCCTAACAAATTTGTATTTCAATGTTTCCATGATAAACTTAGGACCTAAGCTATAAGAGTTGCCACCTTATCGTGTTACTTGTAACCAGTGGTGGGATTCAGCCGGTTCGCACCGGTTCTATAGAACCGTCTCTCGGAATTTTATGAGATCAGCGAACCGGTTAGCATTACTGATTGATTTCCTAAAGAAATATGACTTTTTGTAACAGAACCGGCTGAAAAATATGACTTTTATGATAAAAACGGCTGACAAAAATTTTGAATCCCACCCCTGCTTGTAAGTGTAACTCACGATGCACGAGGAAATAACCATCGAAACCTCTGCTGTATCCGGTTGTCTATTCATCGGTCAACTTTGTATATCGACTGGAAGCAAACAGATTTATTTTTTTTATCTATACCTATTTGTCAACCAATAAATCTAACACTGCAGAAGTAGAACTGATTTCAAGATGAGGGTGATATTTTACCCTGTCTAAAATGAATACCGTAAATCACCCGCCGTAACCGTTACCCGTAAATCACATGTGCTCAAAAACTGCTCTGCATTCAATTTCCATACGACTTTTCGTCCTACAAAATTGATCTCAGCCATGCTTCTTGAATTAACACAAAATGTAACTTGGTTGATGGTAGTTCAATAAATAAACTATATATTGATTATTCTGCGCCGAGTTTACTACGAATGGTCCATATTTAAAATTGAAACAATTCCAATAGCATTGCTGCAACGTTCATTCACGCAATACCAAATTGCAAAGTGTATAATAGTATTATTCCCTTGATTTCTGGCTAATTGGGCAAATTGTATAGATTTCATTTCTAACACACGGTCATACATGCATGTAAAATCGACTCGATGTGAATGGGCGTTTATGTTTATATATATATATATATATTTGAGTTTGCTGCATACGTATATTTATGTTTGTTAGTTGGGTAAAGCGTGTGTCGGATACATTCTCTATCTATATTGTCACTAGACGCTAATTTATTGGACCTATGGATCGTTTTCCTTTTATGCTAGACGGTTGTCAATTTCGTTTATTCCGAAATTTTCTATGACATTTTATATTTTGGTACTCATGTAGTATGTGGACCAAGATGGCGGACACCGGGACGTAGTATGTTTATCAGGTTAAGGTTGGGGTCCCCGAACTCGTAATATAACTAAAATAAGGAAAATTGAAATAACATTATAGCCTAACCCTAACCTGGTACACATACTACGGCCCGGTGTCCGCCATCTTGGTGCACATACTACGGGACCGCCGATATTTTAATCAAAATTCCGCTGAAATATATTTTTATTATGGGAACACGGATTTAAATCCGCTAAGCACGACGTCTGTTTCCGATTCGACGCGACACTACGCGAAACTCTGAGATTAGTTGATATCGGTAACGCTAGATACGGTACAAAAAGTGCTTTGTTTGGATTCCGTGTTCCTAAATTTGATGTTTTGTTGTTCTTTTCTTAGATGACTTTTGCGCCAAGAGGCCATCGAGTGTGTTTCAATTCTTGAAAATAACTACTCAATCATATTTTTAGACCGATGACATTTACTGCATTTCCTCTCCCGCAAAAGGTCTTAAACGCCTGCTTAACATATTTATGTGAAAAATATACTATTGAATATGACATTTTGCACAAATTGAAATAATATGTGGATTTAGAATAAGAAGTTTGGGTTAAATAATTAACTGGATATGAGGCTGTGCAATTCTGTTATGGAATAGGATGTGTCTACTCAATATCTTTTCTAGTCCGATTATCTTGATTTGGAAGACCAATTCAAATCAATCTGTCTGCAATCAATATTACGTTCCCAGATACTTTATGTCAGGGGTTGTCAACCTGCTTTCGACCGCGATCGATGAAGTTCTTTAAAACAGCTCGTGATCGTCTGATCGGTAATAAGGTCATACACAAAAACGAATGGGTACTAGACTGCAACAGGGCCGGTTTCAAGAAGATTTTATCAAATTGGGCCCCGCACCTTGAAGCGGCCCCGCGCTAATGGGGGTCTTTTTCCGTATTATGAGGTACAAAATACTACTGAAAACATAAAATAAAAAGTGAAATAATATTAATTTGTTATGCATGGTAAATTTATAAGAACAGCTTTGCCAATACCAACGTACAACGATGCTAAAAACTGTTGCATCAGGGGGAAGAATATTTTCAAAGTTGTAACTAATTAAAACATACTTGAGGTCAGTCTGCGGTCTCACAAGAAAGACTTAACAGTTTGTCAGTACTTTCTATAGAAAGCGAGATTGCTAAAGCTACTGACTTTGAAAATACTTCGAATGATTTTGCTAATAAATAAATAAACTAAATAAATAAATAAATAAACTAAATAAATAAATAAATAAATAAAAGTCATTTTCTGAAAGAGTATAATGTAATTGCCTATTTTGCCTTTCTTGATGTTAAAAGTAAAACAATAAAATCATTCACATTACCTTAAATTTGTTAAATATCAAGTATTGGATGTCTATTTTTTTGGTTTGTATGTATCTTTTTTTTTTATATAAAACCCATAAATTTTACTAAAAAGAGAAGGCGCGACATCAGATTTCAAATTAGGTCTCGCAGTTCCTAGCACCGGCCATGAACTGCACACAGGCGTACAAAGAATCTCACCGCTGCCGATAAGCTCGGCTTTGTGGGCTTATTTTTAATGAAATCAATTGTGTTCAATCTATGTTCAATTTAAGTTGTCCATTCGAGATTTTATTCAAATCCTACAATTTAACACAATCATACATTTTTTAGTCGAAGTGGAAAATTACTCAAGAGACCTTGCCAGGTATTCATGTATTATCTAAAAAGCGAAAATTAAATATTCTCAAACTATGAATGTTACATTACTGCTCAAACTTCAGTATCTAATTTATAGTTTTGGTAGACCCGATGTATGTGTACCAGGTTAAGGTTAGACCACAATTTCATTCCTATTACGAGTCCGGGGACTGTCTGTGTTAGCCAAGTGAATATCCCTCTGCCATTGGTTTCAGTCCCTTTACACAACTTGATGTAAAATAGGCGAACAAAATAAGTTACCTCTATATTGGTACACATACTTCTGGAGCGCCATCATTTTATCTATCCAAGTGCGATTCTTCGCTCGCTTGGAATTAGAAAAAATTGAGCATTCCTATATGTGATGGGCTACATCGCATTTCCATGAAGTCCAATTTGTTGTTTCCTAAAATGCCGGACACAACGTGGACCCATAAAAGAAATAAAGGCCATGTCGAGTTTTTCATATTGTAATTGTTTCATAAAGAAAAAGCAAGAAATTGATTTAAGAAAATTACAGCAATTCTCGAAGAGTGGACGAAAAACTTCACATAATACAGCCACCGCAGCGTCAAAATAGAAAAAGCAAGGTAGTTACTTATTTATGTACAATCAATTAGTTGCAATTGAAATAAAGCAGGATTGAGGTATAGAATATGTGAATATAAATAATATAATACGTTGTCAAATGTGATATAAAAGGTGTTAAACATCAGTAATAATTCCAAGATCGTAGATATTGATGTTCAATTGTCTCTACCAATGCCAGGTCCATTTACAGCGGACTAAATCCGCACGAGGTCGCACGACCCAGCGACCGTCGAACATCATGACCCAGTGCTATAAACTCGGCAGTTTTAAATGGCCGTTGAAAGAAATTTGATTGTCCTCAAATTGTTACGGTTGTTGATGTAAAATAAACTGAAAAGTTCCATCTTCAGCTCTGTTCAACGTACTTTTCTGAATAGTATTGAATACAGATTAGCAAATAACATAGGTTGTTTAAATAAAATAAGCAGATTGCATTTTCCTTTCGAATAACAAGCCAATATTACGCGAGAAACGAGATAATCAGGTTCAGTTAGTTTATCGCCTTTACAGAATAGTCAGCTCAGTTTGTTTTCTCGAACTTAGCCTTAAACGAGATAATCAGGTTCAGTTAGTTTATCGCCTTTACAGAATAGTCAGCTCAGTTTGTTTTCTCGAACTAAGCCTTGAGTTGTATCTACATAGGACCTTAATGCGCAAAACGATTCCAATTCCTAAACGACCATAGTAACAAGAATTCAGCGAGATATTTTTTCCGTACAATATACCGTGAATTTGCGAATTTAAAATAAACCCCTTCCTTTCCCATTCACCATTCGTTAGTCGCACAAAATCAATAGGTCAAGTTTGATAGTCTCTGTGACAATTTTACTAACAAAACATGCTGATTAGCAACGCACAAATAACCGATCTTAATAAAAACAAATGAAAATTCACGGGAAAATTAGATGGGCAAGCGAATAAAATAATCAAAAATAAAGAAATTATTTTAAAATAATATTGATAAAAGTAATCAAAAAACGATAAAAATAAGATTGTCCGATAACTAAAACTAACTAAGTGACGGTTAAACCTTGTACGTTATAATTAAGCGATGAAGCAGCGAAAACTTAGGTTTTACCCATACCTTGATTTATTCCTCTAGGAATTTGATTTTAAAAGTACTCAGAAACGTCATTACACATTACTCAAATTAATCGATTTCGGTATCAGAGAAAGATTTAGATTGGACATTTGAATGTCTTTGCGATGTGCGTAGTTGATTTTGCTTATGGGATATACAAATATCAAAAAAAAACAGTAAAATCCCAAAACGAGTAACGAAGTATACTTACGGAATAACAAAAATGTTTAAAATTATTAAGTAATAAAGCAATTATATTTCATTTTCTATATAAAAATCAATTTATAACAAAATTTAAAACGTCTGAGATTCAAATGAAGTAAATGGGATCCATACAAGAACAGTTATTCACGAATTATATGTTCTTGTTCTGCAAATTTTTTGAACTTTTTATATTACATATTGTTTAACTGTTACAAACTTGAATACTCCGAAGTGTTAGTACTCTAAAGCGAGGACGAGTGAAGGCCGATTTAATTGGAGGCCTCTTAGATTCAGTGTCTATTATACAAGTTCCAAAACCACACAAATTAAACGCACTTACGTTCAAATGAATCTCAGAATTTTAAAAATAACGACACGTACTAGATTCGGTTCGTAATCGAACGAGTGTGTCATTATTTATTAGAAATCAAAAGCACACGATTGGTATTCCAACTTAGATTCTCATAAACATCCAAGGCCCTTTCCGATCTACGTAACATATCCGAATCATACTTGTCACCAAACAAATTTCACGTTTGGTCAAGTGTGATCGACCGGGTAAAAAATGTAAACGGACATTCTCGGACCTTGGTTGAAACCGGACCATGTATATTTTATGATGTTTTCCATTGGCTACTCTATATTCCTTATGGCAATGGGATTATAAATCCAGCTATAGGACTGGTTTGAATGTTCGGTTTGGCCAAAGGTAAATCGCATGACAATGATTCAATAATGACGTATGAATGACGTAATGAAATGAAATCGTTACACAAACATGCAGAAAGTCATGACGTCGCAAGTCAAAAAAAATCTTCATAAAATACTCGGTCCATAATGAAACGCAAATATTGTATGTGGTAAAAGCAAACTTATCTCCGATTCATAAATGGCCGAGTATAGAAGACTTCAGACTTGCGTAATAAAATACACACCATATTAATAATATATAATTTGCACGAAAAATTTAATTTGTAAAATCATCATGCTTGTGGGTAAACGGTTTTCGAACGCGATAAAAAGATTTATAAAAAATTAAATGTTTATAAAATTTTCTAAAATTTCATTTACGAAACCCGTTTCCACAGACTAAAATCGTTTTACGAATTAGTTTTAATTTTTATTTTCACCGCTTAGTTCGCGTAAATGATTTAGCAGCATCACCCATGATAGTGTTCATGCTTTCATTTGATTGTTTTCCACCGCAACGCTCGGCGTGCTACGTTATATCTTGCACGCAGACGCAAATGTCGCGAGCGGACTCACGCATGGGAACGCATCGTCCCGCGTGTGATCCGCCGCGTCATCGGCAGTCTTTCAAAACGTTGTTTGTGGGCAATGCCGCAGCAAATTCGTGCATTATACAAATGGCAACACAGCACTGCAGTCTTTCAATATGGCGACTTTCAAACTCTTTCCATGACGAATATACGGTACGAACCGTATTGGTCGTTGCATGCTATCGCTGCGCGTGATGAAAAGCATATATGAGAGCATATTATGTGATATTTTGTCATAATCCGATGTGAGATTCGTTGTCCATTTTGATTGTAGATTGATGAAATTCCGTTGATAATTTGTGAGTGGCAAGCAGCACGCAAAGCAGATAAAAATAAAAACAATATATAGATTAGTAAGTTGAATCAGGCAATTGTTTCTGCATAGGTAACCGGAAAACGACGACGGATATTAAAAATTCAGAAGGATATGAGAAAAAAATAAGACTCAAAATTAACCGAATATATTTGAAAGCATCGAAGGTGAAAAGGTGGGAGTAGAAAGGGGTGGGAGTAATTAAGGGCATTGCCTCATTACACGTTTTAACTGTTTGTCGTTTCACAATTACCATGCAACAATGTACAGACAACACCAAATTAGGATACAGGTTATGCAATTTCATGAGCAACCTGAGTAGAAACAACCTGCGGTAAATTTTTCAGTCTCAAATCATCATATGAAATTGCATAACCTCATCAAAAGTGAGTATACGATATAATATTATTACTAGATATATATAACACCCTTGCTGTTAGTTGTAAATTCTAGTACTATTATGGTTAAGTAATAATATCCTTTTCATATCATTTAAAAAACTTGTATTTGGGTCTTTTAATACCAACACAATTGGAAATTTTAAGGCTAATACTAAACAGTCTTAATTATCCCTGACTTGTACATAAAAGGACTTCGGAATGCTCTATAGCTGAGAGCTATAACGCATTTTTCGTTTCGTTTCAATTGGTACTTATCCAAGAAAATTATTCTTCGTATAACAATGTAACTTATGCCGAGGAATATCTGTTTTGCTGGAATATTTTTTTCTGTGTCAAAAAAAAAATTGGACTCGAAATATGGAATAGTGGTATTTGTGTGGAGCAGTGCATTTTCCTTCCAACCCATGCTGAAAGATCGTGATGCTGATTTGTTCATCGTATGTGAAGATTGTTGCAAAAAGAGGGATATATACACAATAGTAAAATTGATGTAAAGTTAGTATGCTTTATTGTTAGTAAACTCCAGTTCTTGAAAAGAACGGTTCGATCAATTTAGTTATGTCCAATGCACTGGTCATCAGGTCAAGTCATCATCAGCGCAAATTGGGAGATTTACATTGTAGTGCATTTTCACCGACCTTGATAGTTTAAGACACCAAAAATGTAGAAAGAGGCAGAATGATGATTACGTCACATATGTCTTTGTGTGCTAACACAGCGTTGCTTTTCATTGTTGTTTGTAGAATTTTCAAGAAACACTCCCACAATAATCAAACCCTAACGTAGTGTTCATCAAATTCGAAAATACCCCCGTCTTCTGATGCAAAATTACCTACTATAGGCCCGTATCAATTTACTGCATTTAAGTGATACAGATCTGCAGCACGGGTTGCTGAAAGTTTTATTTTTCTAATAATATTATTTTCACATTTGCCATAGATGAGATGACGCAGTTATTAGAATATGCCCTAGCTTGCTAAGTTGAGTGAGCTTTCATAACGGACTTGTTCAAGGGTCCGGCGTAGGTCCGTTATCTTTATGTATTATTATTACGATTTACTAATCCACCCTCACCTTGCGTTCTAAGGATAATGTGTCACAAAACCTTGTTTTATTGAAAGGTACAAACCTCTAATTGAAAATCAAAACTTTGTACAAAAAGGAGAAGTAATGGTATCGTGAAAAAATATTAAGTAACAATAAAGTCAAAAGTTTGAATTGAATGATACTGTGGTAGATGTGATATACATGTATAGGTTGAATTTGCGAAGACACACAGGTACGTGAAGAATGAAAACTATCCACGCTTGCATGATTACGAAAACGAAATCTGTGAAGGTTCTATTCAATAGTATGAAGAATTTGTTTTTATTTGAAGACATTGTCGGTGCATTGTATTTTTGTAAAAAAAAATTCAGTGGGGAAAGATATTCCACAAAAATGGTGTAATAAATGTGGTGTAGAAGGTAAAATAAATTAACCTAATATGAGTTGGAGATCAGAGTTGTAAGTAGAATCATTTAGTTTTGAATCTTCCTGGAATTCGAAAATACTAGCCCAAACCGAAAAAAATAATGGTTTGAGGAAAAGTTCGTTTGAATGCTCCAAGACGCAAACCTGATCTATCTTACAACTCTGATGTGTGTCACACATGTAATTATCTACATGACATGGAATGTGGCAACTGAGCCAAATGTACAATAGCAGTTTTTAGGCTGGGCTGAGGTGTGTTGTATATTGACTTTTTACAATAAATTTGGACCAATAGTGCAAATGGTATTGGCTCAAATGTACCACACTTAAAAGTGAAACTTTTTTAAGTTAAGTTTGTAAGAATAAGAAACAGTCTTTTTAAAGCAAAGTTAGTCCTTTCTCAAAAAATGCTTTTACAGTTTATAATCTAACGCCTTGAATGGGTCAACATCTGGGGATGTGTGACCCTTCAATGTTTTCTTATCCCCGCCCCTTTTGTCCCTTCTACGTGATCTAACCTTTTGCCAGCAGTTAGCCAATGGTAATCCGTCTGTACCCTGTAGTGCGTCAACGTCATCAAAAATAATCATTGTTGAAAATCAAGTTGAAAGTGTCGTCAGGAAATCAACAGAAGCAGAACAAACATAAACAAAAAAGTATTTGTTAGAAATTTGGTATTGGAAAAATAACTGGCCAGACTATTTTCCATACATATTTTTTTATAGAAATTGATAATGCATAGAGCAGCCAAACATTTTAATTATATAAATTATGAGAAAAAGTCTTTCCGAAATGTTGAAAGTATTAATTTAGAATACTAAGAATCTCTAGAACCTAAGATTTTAAATATATTAATAAACAGTTGAAGTATAGTATTTCTCCACATGTTAGTGATTGTTTCGTATGGGACTAGTTCTTCTTAAAATCATATAAAAAAAAATCCTAAATAAATGTGATAATTCACACAGAATATATCTGCCTTTCTTTCGTCATAAGAATTTGTAACGATGAAATCACAATTAAAACAGAATACCTTCGCAGACACTCATCATACTCAATTTATTCACTCATTCTCATTTTATTAACACACTCAGTTTCATATTTTACCAGTTCGTCATAATCTGGTGACCTTGCATCCACACCATCAAGGCCTGGTATACCCAGGTCTCCTTTCACGCCTTTTCTTCCACGTTTACCACGTGCACCCTGTTCCCATCCACGAGAGAGAATGCATAGCAAAGAAAAGAGAGAAGAGAAATATGTAAACGAGGGGAGGCTACTTAATATTCAGAATATGTTTTCAAATTTAGATGCTGATTGTTTATTTATACCCTCAGCGCAAAAAATACATTTTTATTTAACGATAATGAGTGAAATTTGGCAAGGCTCGCTACTCTTGTGTCATATGCTGATTTCCTCATTCTTTCTTGTTCGAAAAACATTTCGTAAATAAGTCGAAATAAAATGTATGATCGTTTGTTTATAGCTTCGGGAGAGTAAATATGTGAAAGCAAATATTTTAGTATCCCGCAGTTGCGCAATAAAATATGTCGAGATATTGTCCCAAAATTGAAAATTTGTATCTTAAAATGAATAGCCTATGTGTAAAATAATAACATCAATGGCGATGATGAATTGAAAATGTGTGTGACGCGGTATGTGTGTGTGAAGCACAAAGACATGACAAGTGGAAGACTTGAAACAAAAGACAACAAGCAGACTCTTTGTAAAGCATGGGTAAAACTAATCAAGCCGTTTCGCAAGCATTCTTACACTGTTGCACACATAAGCTGACAAACAACAAACATGCTAACAAATCCATTAACAACATCTGTGATTGACTTGTAGCAAAAATTAGTTAACCCAGAAAAGAATAAATTGCCATCGTTATACAACAGTATCGGATTGCTTTATGAATTTTGGTAGTTTCGTTAAATCGAAAATTTTGAGGGTCGGTAGTACGAAATTGCTGCACAAAACTGATTTAAACATATTCAAACACTCTAGACAGCTAAAAAATCTTGAATTATATTTATTTACTTCAAGCTTCAAAATTTAAATTAAGTTACGTCATCAATATTTATTACATCACAACTTGTATTTAATAATCAGCAATTTTTCAACTATTTCCACTATTTGTAAATAACCACCTGCGAAATATTTTAGAAATGTAATTTTTTTTGAGAAACCTCTCAACCTACCAATGGACACGGTGCATCTAAGCCTGGGGCTCCATCTTCTCCTTTGGTGCCCTTATGGCCACGTTTACCCCTTGGTCCTTTTTTACCCTGGTGATATGAATGACCAAAAATGCAAAAGGGAACACTACATTAAAACGGATGCATGCAATATTACAATCACAACATCAATCGTTAAATTGTTGATGCTGTTTAAAATACAATAAAAGCAGCAAAAAATGCAATTTAACCTCTACCAAACATGGGATAGTGCAAAATCATGGTATATAGAACATGGTTTATCTACACTCCGTGATTGGTAGAGCTAAACAAAATAAGTACGCGATGTATAGATCAGGCAAGTGCTGCAAGTCTCGTTAACCACACATATGATAATTATGTAAGAGGGTGAGCACGATTTTGTGTTTGAAATGATAATTGTAAAATCAATGCGACTAATTTTGAACAGTTTGAATTGAATGTATTGGTGAACTGGTAAATATATAAAATTAACTATAAATAGTCATGGCATGTATTTGTGTGATAAATTACCTTTTAATATTTTATAATTAGGAAAAATTGAATTCGAAGTATCTACTATTTCAAGTCAAATCTCTGATCAAGCAAATTAATAACGTGGCCTCAAATTGGTATATATCATAAATATGTGAATGGAAATACGTATCATCTAGTGTAGTATCTAAGCGGCGTCACTAAATTACTAAAATATTGAATGGCGTGACTAAAATGACTATAAAATTGTTTTTATTAATAATGACACTCTGAATGAATATTAAATATGGTATAAAGTGGCATAAGATCGTCTCGGATGCCTGGTAACTTGATTGTTATATTCAATTGATATTATAAACATGATAGCTTAATACATATCAGCGGATGCTCCTAACCCTTGCTTGGAGTGATGGTATATGGACAACTCATAAAATTAATTGAAACGAATATTTCTTTGACGAAATGGTTGATAAGTTTTTTATTTGACCGATTTTGACTTTGCTTTGGACAAATACTTGGACAAAACGTGTATACTTCAATTTGTTATTAATGTATTGCTAACCATTTTCTACACTGCGATACAATTAATGCTATGATATAATTGCAGAAGCTTGAATTGAATTCAAAATTAATAAGCAGTAAGCCTTGTGACAAGTTTGATTGCAATTATGCACATTATTCATCAACATACCCTTGGTCCTTTAGGGCCCTGTGTTGCATAAAGCGCAGCGTAAAGGTAGTTGTTAAAACCTTGTAAATTTTAGAGTATCACTTTAACACTAAACAAAAAAACTACATACCCTTGGACCTCGTTGACCCTGGAATACATTATAAAAAAGTATTGGTAAATTTGATCGATTTTTTAGTTGAATTTACAATTCAAATAAGTGTCTTCATGTTACAGGATACTTATGTTAGTATAGCTCTAAATAAATATTAAACTTACGTCAGGCCCTTGAAGACCAGGCAATCCTCTGCTACCCTTGTCACCTTGTGGTCCAGATGTTCCACTCAATCCCTGAAATTAGTTAAGACCTATCAAATTGGCGAACATTTTGTACCATTAGGTAAAGGTGCCGTGTTAAACATGCCTATATTAAAGCATTTACAGAACTGAACCATTTTGTTCTTCGCGTTTAAACACCTAAACACAATGTCAATTGGAAATGGAGGACTTCTTCGAAGAATATCTTGCAGTTGGTACCATTGGTGTACATGTAGAACGTGTAGCAGAGTACGTTTGAACGTACTGGCTCATCGCTATTTTTTGGTAGCTTGTGTTGTGTAATAGTATATTGCAGCAAGAGCATGATTTAGTAATGAGAGTGAGGAAACGCGTGGAAAATACCGAGGAAAATCTCAGGTAATATTTCAAAATCAACTTGAAAACTTAACAAAAGCAGGAGAAAGGACATAAAAATATGTAAAATACATTTCACATTACAACACCCGTATTTCGCTTTCATTGTTCTAAAGCAATGGCCCTGAATCTTATTTTTACTTTCCAAGGCCCTTTTCAAAGCCCTTCTCAAAAAGCTGGTTACTATAAATATTGACTAAATACTTAACTATATTCATTTAATGTGATGGGTGCCATTGTTTATCGCAACTAGCTGTTCAATGTCTGGGGGAGTGGATAATACGCAAGTAAAGTCAACGTCACGCCGGTTTTATGCTGTAGATTTGACTTTTTATTGTTTTTACTTTATTTGAATTTATTTACGGTAACCCTAAAAACAAAGATATCTACCCCAGGGATAAATGAATGGATACAGTTCTAAACGAAATTGTTATTGGAATCAATCAGAGATAAACGAACCAAAGAGGGTTTCAAGTCTGAAAATTATCATGTGAAAATCGAAAAATTACATAGGTTTTGGTGAAAACTACAGTGCGATAATTTCATCATAAATACAAAGATCTGCCAGTTGTTCTAAAATAGAAAATAAAAAAAATAGTGGTTGACTTACCAAAGGTCCTTGTTCGCCCTTGTCACCCTGATAAGCAAGAATTATTGAAGCAATGTTAAAAAACAGCAGCAACAAATTACAAGCAATGATTCATGAGAGGCATGGGGATGATGTGAAAAACATTTGAAAATTTGAATGGGTCAAAATGAACAAGACAATTTGAAATAACTTTAGTTGATTGGATATCGAGGCATGGTGTGTTTTGGAACGAAGAAATCAAATGTTGAAAAGTATTATTATATGTTATAAATGGGATGAATATATTGAATAATAAACGATGGACCTACATGCCATGCACAATTATTCATGTGAAAGTAAGTTTCTATCACGTCAGTTTGCAAGATATAGTGGCTTTAATTATATGGGAATGCCCATGCTGGGCTTACTCAACATTCTTTTATCTATATTGTTCAGCAAAAGTCAGTTTATATATACTTTCGTAAAATGTTAATCTTGAAAGTTAATCTTACTTCGATTTGGTTAATATTTGTATTTTGTCATTTTCAATTCTATAGATAGATTAATTTCAAAGTTTCTTGATATTTTTCTTGATGAGGTATGATACCCAACAACACCACCAAACCCACAGCAAACCAAGCAATATTACATCTAATTATTTATCAAGCATGCAAAATGTGTTAAGATGAGTAGATATCTAATTCTTGTTATGAATGGTAACATAGTGTAATAATGGGACATTCGATTTTCAGGATACTCAAAAAAGACTAAAACGGCTCACTACACAACCAGATTTCGTTTGCGGTTTTTGAATGAAGTACGAAAATGCATCCAACTGAAGTTTGCGCCAATATTTAAAAACAATTCTCAATTTGACAGGGAAGGCCATTACACAAGGCAAAAAATTGTTAGCAACGAATGACTGACGTGTTGTCCGTTTACGAAAAAATTAACAGCTATAAAGGCGAAATCATGATATAATACATATCCATGAAACTTTATAGAATCGAAAACTTTTTGCAAATTTGATTATTTGAACAATATCAGCGGACGCGGTGCGGAAACCTAGGCTAAAGCGCAAGACTTGACTATGATGTCATCGTGGGGTAAAATTTGCGACTTAACTCCATGCCGACCCGCTCACCAACTGTGTAATAAACCTATCACCACCTGAATATTGTTAAAACTGAATTCTTTGAGACTTAAACCATCATCTTAACATGGTTTTCAAACAAAACAAATTACAAATTGGATTATAATATTCAAATCCAATTAGTGATGAAATGGTAAATTAATGAGAAATGTGGCAGGCACCGAAAGTTTGAGAGAGACGAAGATTAGGACAGATTGATTTTTAGTAAAAAAAATTACTATTAAGTGCACAAAAAAATTTCCACTCTAAATTCAAAAAATGTGTAAATGCCATAAATCAAACAAAAGTATTATTTAATTTTCACTCGAAACCCCCAAAATTCCGTTTTTTCTACCTTTTCGCCGGGCAAGCCATGTAGACCGGGTTCTCCTGGGAAGCCATCTAAACCGCTTGGGCCCTAATTTTAAATCAGGAATGGACAAAATATGATAATGAATGAAGGAATGACATGAAATGTAAGGAAAAAAGGGGTTGAATTAATTACTGAATATTTTCGATTAAGGGCAATTTTTCTACTTTTAAATTTCAGAGATTTGTGGGCCAATATATAATCATCACAATTTATAGTGAACTGACTACAGGGGTCTTATCGGAATAATATTATAAAAGAGGCACGCAATAATCCAGTAAGAAAATGTGTGGATTTATATTTAAGAAATTACAGAGTACTTAATTGCTTAAAATCGTAGGGTTTAGACAGCAGAAACTTTCATATTTTTAAAAATAGTTTGATCATCAAGATTTGCGTTGGCCAGTTTCCTATGTATTATAGCACATCAAAGCGTTATGTCGTGAAGAGTCGAGGTTGGCAAAAATGAAGCAACAATTTTTAATCGTGAAAACAGAAATATGATAAGGTACCGGAAGCATTAGCCAAGTAAGCAATCACTGTTATGACTAAGCATTTATAACTATGACTAAGCAAAAACCCTCAATCCCGACTACATATTATTTATACAGTAATTCGCATATAAAAGGCTGTAGTAAATAGCACAAGGTGTTACCTAATTTTACTTAAATAGAAGATGAGTATAAGTATGGCCTAATATTGAAACAATCTAGAGTCTTTTAGAATCTAGACTACATGCTACGTTTAATTCATCAATAGAAAACGAAAGCTAAATAGAAAACGAAAGCTAAGATTCAATCGCAGAAGAAAAACTTGATAATCTCTAAATGTATTATCAAGGGACATAACTAATAGCAATATTAATTTTTATATAAAAATATAATATTGCAGCCTAAAGTATTTTCTACTATTTCAATCACTACTACAAACCTCTTATACAAGTTTGAGAAGGCGATTAGATAAAAATATAAATCATTTTCTTACCGGGAGTCCCATTGATCCCATGTCTCCCTTTTCTCCACGGGGACCAGTCGGTCCTGGTCTTCCAGTACCATCACGTCCAGGTGGACCCTGAATAAGCAGAAAATATCGATTAACGAATATGGTAGTTACCATATGGTTGAAAAAAATCTTCTATACAAGTCAACAAACAGAGCCAAGGCAATATAGTATGCACAATTTAGTCCCGATGCAACGATTTTGGTGTCTGTAAAAGTGTTTTTCAAGTTGTTTTTGACCTACAGTGAGTCCCATGAAAAATGGGTCAGGGTGAGTATATATTACAGAACACACACTTACCAATAAACCTGGTGTACCTCGCGGGCCTGGTGGTCCGGGGATCTGTAAATCAAACAAAAAAAATATCAGATTCTGTTCAAAAGATAAACTCTGTATGCAATGCGCAATTCACAAAATGACAAACAACATGCTAACTCCGTTTGAGAAGAAAATCCGGATGACAACTTTTTACACACAGAATTTATTCGGCGCAACATGCCACAAAATAATGTTTTACAGTTGTATGCAGTCACGTATATGTCATCTATTTGATGGTTCTAGTCCTATATTACAGTGTTCGTCACGAGTCATGCGAGTCTCGAGTCGATTCAGACTAAAGCCAATCTGGGCTAAATCAAGCCACTGGCTAAATCAAACAGGCAGTTAGTGGAGTACGAGTCTTCGATATCCAGTGACTCGAGTGACTAGGCAAGGGTGGGCAAGGTTTTTGGACCAGGGGCCGAAGATCTTGCCCACATACACTGGTGGGTCATATAGGTGTGAAATTTACATTTCATGTACAATATTTACAGTGTTACAAGAGCAAAAGTGGAAAACAATAAACAATAGGCCTCGTGCCAAAACTAAATTCAATCGCAAGCTCAACAAATTCCTTGAGCTATTTTTCAGTTGAAACATCAAAATTTGGTTTTGGTTTGGTTGTGGCAGCATCAGATAGGCCAGATTGAATTACCTAACCGGCCGGATTTAGCCCGCGGCCGTATTTTGCCATGCCAGGACTAGAGCCTTTCGAACAATGTGCAACATCATCTTGGGATTAACAGTAAAACCAAGAGATATTAGGGTGGCACTAAACTCATAATGTTATTTGTGACCGCTGGCAATCCAAACAGTCAAAATTGCAAGCGATACATTGGAAATGGATTCTTAGTCATCCCCAAAAAATGAAGAACATTATTCGATATTTTCTACCTATAATTCAATATTAGGTATAGCTGGTTATCCAGACGCCTCAAATGTTAGTATGGTAAAATATTTATTTAACCCCTTACAAAGAAAATAACGTGCATTAGAAATCTGGACAAAACTCAACGCAACAAGACATACATTGTCAAAACTTCATGTGAAGATGCGGAGTACGACGAAACGTCAAATAGAATTGTATCACAGTAAAGTATATTGGCATTTTTCTTGCATTTTTATAATAGTAGGTTTTAGCCTTCCTCAAAACGAAGTAGACCATGCATAAAAATTTGATGTGCTGCAAAGTCAAAAGCTTACTTTTAACAACTAGATTCGTCATTCGAACTTTTGTCATTTTGGAAAGATACCGAAAATTTTATTTACCGTTCATCTATTTTAGTCTCTGGGAAGAGACCCCTAAATGTTATATTGTTATTCACCGTTTTTTAATTTAAACTACAGTTTGTTAGGCTACTGAATTGGTATCCAAATTCAGCTTTGTGTGTGTGACACGCATGAACGCACATAAAATGCAGTCATGCATGACAACCAATTACAACAGAAACCTACAAATATGTTTGTTCTCGATCCACGGTAGTCTGACGAACATGAGCAGTTCTGTACGATTAGATTATTAAGGATTAATTAAAATATGTGATAAATACATTAAATTTTAATTAAAAATAATAAAATTGAGAATATCATAAACAAGGTATAAATAAAAATGCATAATAATTAAGACTGATATATGAAATTTTTACTTTTACAAAAATAAGATAAATATTGAATAACAGAGTGCTTTATAATTGAAGATATGTAATGAGATTTCAAAGATAGAAAATGAGATAAATGAAAATGATAGGTAGATGTAGAAGGCATGAAGAAAATCGCACCTTTCCGTTTATTCCTGGTCTGCCCGTTCGTCCCTGTTTGAGAGATAGAGTTAGAAGAGAAGAAAAGAAAAAAAGGGGAAATTGAAACGAGGGAGACAAAGAAGTAAACGAGAGAACATAAAAATCGACTGAAATATGGTTAAGCCCAACAAAGTACTGTATAGGTTGAAGAATTTGAAAAACTTTCATTGGTTTTCAAAACATAATATAAGTAAAAACTGACATCAGTGTTTGCAGAAATCTATAACACAAATTTAGTTTTATTAAGAACGAAAGAGAGCTTACCACATTTCCAACTGGTCCGGAAGGTCCCATTTCACCTGGCTCACCTTTAAGTCCGTCACGGCCCTGAAAATTTGAATTAATGAAAATTGTTATGTGTTTTCACTGCCTATTCAAATGAAGCTCGAAGAATTTCTCATATCACAACTTGTAGCCGATACAAAGATTTACTTATGAATAATCCACAGTATGAACGGTGTTGCATTTCTATTCGAAATTACATTTAAACACTACCACATCTACAACCTATTTAGAGTACTGACATTGACCTACAAAACATTATATATAATTGAACTTACAGCAACGCCTTCTTGTCCCTGTAGAAAAAACATATCAATGTTACATTAATTTACAAAGTAAAACTATTGTAAGCAATAAACATCAAAGGTAGTCTCTTGTGATAAAACGGACAAACGATGATTATTGATTACCAATTACTAAAATACTATGACTTGAAAGTTGATTCATAAAACATGATTACATAAGTAAGATACGAGATAAAAATAAAACAAACAGTTTTGCTCAAGGGCTTTACAAGGAAATGGCAAAATATTGAGATGAAATGAATGTACCTTTTCGCCTTTGTCGCCATTTATTCCAGGGATACCATCCAATCCGCTTCCACCCATTTCTCCCTGAAAAATGTTAAGTAACGATGGAATGATTTATCTATTTATACGGAAGAGAATTTACACCTTCTGTAGCTTATTTATAGCTTCATTCACAATTTTGAAATGAGATAACATACCTTTTCACCGGCCTCTCCTTTGATACCTATTCCATGTTCACCATCTTTACCATTTTCGCCCTTGAACAAAAGGATGTAAGAAATGATTATTTTCATTATTATTAAGACATAACGTTCCTATAAAGTTGACATGATAATGGAGGCTATCTTAATAGGGCGTTTCGCCCCCCATTTATATGAAAACAGCTATAATTTCATGACCGAAATGTTTCGGGTATGATTTTCCGTTTCGTCTATGTTACATATATGAAAAAATTTTCTCACCTGTTCGCCTTTAATTCCCTGTTGGCCTGGTTCTCCCTGATAAAACAAGCAAAACATTTATTAAATTGACAAAAACTATTACTGAAAACAAAAGAGAAAAATTGGTCAAATGCGATTATAAATATCAAATATCGAGACCAAAAACCTCTTATATTGTGCATTAGACCGGAAAATTCAATTAAATGAATTAAATTTCATTTTAATTTCTGGTAAAGTCAAGGTCACATAAAACCAACAAAATGATTGATCATAATTTCAAAAATTGTGTGAAATTTGACGGGTAAAAACACGCAAATCTGTCAAAATTAACAAATTGAGACTTAATCCCATAAACTGCGAACGAAACCCAAATGACTAAAATTGGTCATATATATATAGAAAATAGAGCTATACCTTTTGTCCAATCATTGATAAACCTGGGGGGCCTGGAGGGCCAGGTGGTCCAGTGGCTCCAACTCTGTTCTGTATAAGTTAAAGTTTATTTATTAATTAGCTACAAAACACGCTGCGCAGAAAACAAAATACATTTTCTTGAATTTTTTCGGATGATGCATTCCATTGGTGTGGTAAACAAATTAAATTCAACCATTTTTTTATTGCAGTGGAATTTTCACACGACCCAACAAGCGAAAATTTTAGCAACAGCGCGGTACATTTCAGTTCCTACCTGGTCGTGAATAAGCCAAACATATTTATATATTCATTGGCCTTGCATGAACAATAGAGATTGGTAAGAATTTATAATTCATAATCGGAACATGCTTACACCACGGGTAATACGAAAATAATTCGATTAACGTACCTTAATCGCTTCTTGCATCTCCTACAATCACAATGCATCAAGAAGCAATCAGACCAGCGTTACGTGCAGTAGTAAAAGTAGTACAGTACGATCGAGGCAGATTAACACGCATTACGCACAAAAAGAGCAAAAATAGAAAAAGCGACAGTTAGTTACTAGAAATAACACTAGAATTCTACTATAAAAAAGCGCTTGACGTATCATCAAAGTATTGGTATCAAATCCATACTTTTTGAGATTCAAGAAATGCACAAAGTAAATGAATCAATTATGTCGATGTTTAGATGGTTGGTATTATAAAATCTCACAACAATTTGTATTATTCTAATGTCTTTCATTTTGAATGCAAATTTTGATTATCATAATGATTGAATACTTTTCAAAATATGTATGACAAAAAAAGCGATTCCCAAGAGCAAAGAAATATTGTATGACCCCCGGAAATACAGAATCCATAAATTTACTAATAACTTTCACTGAAATACAGAAAATTTATTTACCACTTATTTCGGAGTTCGAAAACTATTTTAGATCACTAAATTTAAAGCCCATTCTAGGGGAAGTCAATTCTATCATGGTTGAAACCCCAAATAGTTCATTACTTTGTGCATTTCTTGTGAAACAATTAAACAGCATCAGCACTTAACATGCCTATATCTCAATACAAAAAGTACAGAAATACAAGAGAAATCAATTATTTTCACATGCTTGGTATTCAACTACACATATCCAGCACGGAAATGCTACAAGTACTGGATTTCCAGTATTGGTATACTACTCAAAACATTCCCTAGATATTAAATCAAGTTATATTTCCTTCAAAATTTATCTGCCATCAGAAATAAGTAAACAATAGTATGTGACTTTGGAATATTCAGCAAAAAAAATTCCTATTGCAAGTACAGTATTGAATATGACAAATATATATTGATATGTTGAAGTGTTAGTAGTGAAAAGTAGTGATGAATGCCAGTGGTATATTCCCAATCTCAATACATGGGGGTTAAACATTTTGTAGAAATTGGAAAAACATGTAGGCCCTACGATAAATTGTTTATGCATCGTGTTTGTTGTTGTTACAAAACGACATAAAATTGCCGATTAAAAAAGCCGTAAAATTAACTTCATTGAAAGAAACTTGAAAACTGGCCGAATTATAGTAAGTTTATGATGTCATGAATTATCATTATTGCGTCATTTATTGAACATACTGCCCCATCACTTATAGCCATGTCACAGGCAGATGATAGAATGATATAGTGTTTGTTATAAAATAATAAGACAGCATTATGAGAAGATAAAATTTGGTATATTTTTAGTATTTTTTTATGGACTTCTAAAAAATCGAATGATCCATTCGATAGCCGGAATGAAAATACGAAAGTAACTTTGAAATGATTGTTAATTATAATGAGACTTTTATTAATGAATTGATTTTAGAAGGGAGTGTGCAAAATGAGTAAAATTGCGGGTTAAAATGAAACGTTTATTTTTATTTATTTGTGCAATGTTTTATCACGAAGAGAGAGTGACATGTTAGAATATAAATGAGATAAAATGCCTGATCAAAAAATAGGCGTTTTCGAGTATGATTTATACATGGGGCATACATGAATCATACTCATTTTTTATATTTATTTTCTGACCAGGCAAATAAAGTGACTATGTGAATGTGCATGTGCGGTATAAAAGTATATATGTGCGTACCTGTCTAGAAACAATTGTGGAAACATCTACCGATGTACCGGGTAGGCCGTCTTTACCCTGTTATTATTCATTTACCCATAATTTTGTTGAAATTTGAAAGTGGTAAAAGTTTTGATTTACTCAATTTTTAAATAAAACCAAAAACTATCAAATCCCAAACCATTTGATCCAATTGAAATTAGAAGAAAAATTTAGATAATTTCTAATTTGATATATATTTTTAAATACAATTTATTTATAGTTGAGTTTTTTATTTCATGTGAAATTTTTTTAATAACTTATATTATATTAAAACTTGACTAAAAAATACAAATATCTTAATTTTGCATGCACAGATAAGCAATTTTATCGACATGCCAGGCCTATAGCAATACAAAAATGCGCAGACGAAATGCCGGATATCTGTTTTATGTATAATGAATATGAATTTGTTAACCAGTTTTTATTTACTCATTCATTTTACTCAGGGGGCTAAATATACATGGTGTTCATAAAGTTCTGTTACAAGTCAGTTTTTCATATATCTATGCAAGGTTTGTTTTATTATAATCAGTGTTTAATCAAGTTTTTTTCTTATTTAAATATATTTTGAATATATATAAGTTGAATGAGGCACATTAATATCACAGTTCTTTTACGTAATTTATTACAGAACTTTATTACAACCCTGTATATATATATGAACTCTGACGGATATATAAGCGCATAGTACAATGTCCAGGCTCCAGAAAGCCGGTGGTATGACATACTACAATGATCGAGCAGCAAACATCGGCTCAGCATCGTCGAATTGGCAGTATGGTAAGACAGTCGGAGCAGAATATATGATTCTCAGCACGAATTTATATTTCGATAACCATTTGGGTGATGGAAGAAGAATTCGCCAAAGTAACTTTTTGTGTACATGGATATTTACATCATTACAAAATCAATTACGGTGAAATTCATATCACAATTTAGTTAATTTTTTTATAAAATTTATATTTTGATATGACGAGCTGAGTCCGACAAAAATCCAAACTCTTTTACAAACGCGAGCGGGCATGCCATACAACATCTACGGGCATTCTTATTTGAAATTGATCAAAAAACGGGCCACAGCGACTTCAAGGCATCAAAACAAACGAAAAATCATTCCATAATCATGTCCATAACAACAAAAACAATCCATTTCATTTAACTGACCACTGTCGAAAAATGACCGCCTCGGCCAAATGTTGAGCCGCTCGTAAATAAGCTTTGTGTCTGTGTGTTAATTAATACATATATATGTTTCATATATACCAAGTTTAAAAATAATTAATTATTAATGCAATAATTATTAATTAGTCATAATTAAAATATATCAGATTATATAAGAAAGCTTCAACATGTTTGATAAAATATAGTTATCAAATTTTGGCCAATGATAATGAAACAAATGGAATATCTAATTTTAACTCCTTCGTATATGATGGACATTCAAATAATAGTTTCAAAAAGGTCACAATTGGACCTAAGTGGGCGGAATTTTGAGTCATGGCAGGACACAAGATGGCAGTCGGCTTATCACTACTATCAATGACCAATATTTGACAACGTTACAGAACGAAACTATTTTAAACCGCCGAGTGTACTCAGCAATGTCTACAATACAGCAACAATTTGAACGCCTTTCCCTACACGCTACTTTACACCGCAAAAATGGGTAAATCCAAATTTATATTTCATATTTTTTTTTTCAAATTACAATTCCAATTACAGACCCAAGTTGGTAAAGCTTGATCTATAGGTCTTGGTAGGAGTCCTCTCCGTTCCTTTGCAAAAAAACATTTCAACTAAATTGTAATTTCAGCCGGCAAGGCATGCGTGATCTTGAGGGCCAACTTGGGAATTCTAGTTATGACTAGGCCATATAGGACAAAGAAGAAATGTAGCGGAGGTAAAGATAAATATATAATAAAACGTAAAACAATACTTACAGCTCTTCCGAATGGACCCTGTGTATATATGTTAAAAATGGTTAAAAAGATTCGAAAAAAAAGAAATTTGAAATATATAAAATCGATTCCTCTTGAATTAATTAATACTAGATAATTTGCTTGCTTGGGACTTTTTTGCATTGAATAATATTAATTGATTATCTCTTGACACAGTAGAATGAAAATGATAAACATAATGTCCAATATTTCTTCTAAGAACTTCAAATTGTTAAATAAAATATATACCTATGTCAATCTAAATTGACTTTATGAATAAAGGAGGTTCAAGGTTGTCAGAATGAATATGGCCGGAAACGTGTTTAAGGTACTGTCCAGTCACAATTACTGATGGCAGCAAAGTCGCCCATTGTTATGCAGTAGCTAATTCCATATAGCACATAAACCTAAGAAAGCTACCAAAATTTTGCAATGTAGAAAAAAAGAAAATACAAAAACATACCGGTAGTCCTCTGTCTCCTCTATCACCTTTAGCACCATCGAATCCCTGAGTACCTGTTTCGCCCTGAAAATATAAACATATGGAAAAATTAGTTTTTTTCCAAAGTATATACGGGTATCTTGAATTTATTAGTGCATTGAAAATTCCATTTACCTTTGCGCCTTTAGGTCCTGGTAATCCAGGCATACCTGGTCGTCCGTCAGTACCGTTGACGCCATAAACCTTCAGAATAATTGTGTATGTTATATCATGAGGTAACTTAAAATGAAACAACATAACATTGCGACAAGGTATATGTTTGCTCAGAAATATTCCTTGTTTCGTTTTTGGGCGTAAACATGCACAAAAAAATATACAGCGATGAAGTTGCGAGTATACAAGACTCGACCGACTAAAGTCAAAAACCATTTTCGTGTAGTTTCTCTGAGCTATTATGGGTATTTAAATAAATAAATACAATAGAAAAAAAAAATGATTTGAAACGGACAATTTTTATTAAGTAAGCAAAACAGAAAAATCCCAATTGTCTCTCACCACCGGTCCGGGTGGGCCAGGAGGCCCAGGAGGGCCGGGGGGACCCTGTGCGCCAGGTTTGCCTTCAGTCTGAAAATAAAAGAAATGGCAAGGTTAGAATAGAAAATGTATAATGTGGAAGTGCATATCACCCTCTATCAAATAAGAACAACCCTCAATCGGAAAATGAGACCTCCAGAAGTATGTGCACCAAGATGGCGCTCAAACCGAACATAGTATCAGGTTAGGGTTCAGGTTGTGCGCCATCTTGGTGCACATAGTTCGGGAGAGCCGGAAAATGTATATATTTAAATTTACTTCCAAATTGGAGAATCTGTATTATTATTTATATCGTTTAAATGACATGAAATACAAAGTATAAAATAGCCATGAAATGTGTTCTATAGAAGACATTCAGGTGTTCCGCATCAAATTGTTGTTTCACATTCTATGATAACAAATATAATAATATATATACTCAAATAGACATAAAATCAATTACACGGGAGAATGATTCATTGGGTTCCGTTCCACTGAAAAAGTTGAAAACTAATGATATAGACTTAAAACGCGCACTCACCTCGTAAGCGTAAAGTTTTTCTGTTTTGTGGGCATTGATTCTGAAACCATCTCTGAAATCAACCTAAATTTAAAAAATAACCACTGTTAGGAAAAAAACTTTTTTCATACTAATTAAAAGCATGCAAAAACACCCGATGTTAAATATCGAAGCGTGATTTGTGTAATCATATAATGTTACAAATATTCGGGAAGTGCGAACATTGTGGCCAGTTTTGTTTACAAAAATAAATTAAATATTTAAATGTTTTCAAGGGGACTGCATAGCTTCAGATGCAACCAAATATCCAAAGTTTGAAATTTTTAGATAAAAGAAATCGCGTAATTTGGCCAATAAATTTTTTTTATATCGTTTATTTGTTTATACTCTTTATTTAGGCCGTTACACAGTCTAATATTGAAGATCAGTTGTAAACTTATGTCAGATAAATGCCAAAGTTCCAAAATTCTGGTAAATTTAAAACATCAATTTTTTTTTTGGAAAACACACACGACGGTGATACGGCTGTTTATCCAGTTCTTATATAATCCAACAAGTACACAACGTCGTTCGCTATTCAATATTGAAAATATTATTAAATGCTATCACCACAATCAATCACCACTAAAACACAAAACAAAAGCAACTAAAAATTAAAAATTTATCTAAATAATAATTAATCAACAAAACAGTGGTTGGATAAGTGAAATAAATTACGTTTAAAAGATGAACATGCAGCATGCTAGAATATTTGAAAGATAATTATGTAAATATGATAAAAAAAGACAAAAATAAAATAGGTATTCATGGATATTCTTTTTGTTTACGGAGAATTGTTGTGACCTGCTGTGTACATGCAAAGCAAATAAAAAAGAGCAAGCAATCTGAGACGTTATTTCCGACGAATATTCTGAGGAAATACAAATTATCGCACTTGATTTTTTTATCCGAATTTTAATTTGATAAAATAGTGAATTCGAATTAGTAGTCGAGTACGCATGCATTCATACGTGTTAAAAATTGAGAAATTAAACATGCTTGGCCAAACACGATTCAGCTTAAAATGCAGAGAATCGTGGAGGTCAAGGGGTAAATTAGAAATACTTGACCTTTGACCGATCTCCCGCACTCATAGACGAGAGCAGGTTTTCGTACTCTTGCGACGATGTCACTAAATAAACTTGCTGGGGTGGCTGAAGCAGGCTTGCAGGACGGGGCTCGGTGCTCTGAACCGAATCCTGATGGATTGAGCGGTCGTCATCGAAAAGCAAAATGGTATTGTGACGTCACAAATTCCAGATCGAAGTGAATGACAGTAACAGACATATACGATCATCATGCAACAGGGGTGGAACAGGATACATGAAATGGTACAAGCAAGAAAAAACAAAGTGAGAAATGGACTTTACACTTTTGCTCAATAAAGCAAGATTATTTTGATACTTATGATCGTTTTGTTACAAATTAGGCCAAGTTAAAACATCAGTCAGTACAGAGAAAAGTTTAAAGATTGAAAATTCAGACAAATGTTATTAATCAGTTGTAAAGAAATTGACTGATTGAAGTCAGTTTAAAAGCTTTAAAACAATAATATTAGCGGATTTTACTGTGAAAATTCATGAAAACATACATATATGGGGCTACGTCTAATTCTACTGAATATAAGGTTTACAAGTAAATATTTAGAAAATGAACAAATGGGAATCAGCATTGAGTTTAAACGATTCTACACAAAACTCAACCCTATTCAAATTAGAATGCATAGCTCAAATTTTTGAGTTCAAATAGGCAGAATTTTGCGCTTCGAAGGTCGGTCAATTCTAGTGATGATAAAAGGTAGGACATGTGAACTCTTTAGCAATCTTACATGACTTATCGCTATGAAATCAATTTGCACAATGTCACATAATTTTTGAGAAAAAAAAGGTGCTATGAACCTATATTTTTTCGATTGTGTTAGCACTTTTACCAGTCCAACTATGCTTTCTATACTCTACAATTTTCTACTGATATTGGTATTCTACCACAATTGACCAAGCATAATCTGTAGGTGAACAGCTCAACAAATCCACGGATTATGTCTGACCAATTGAGTTTCATATTTTCCTGGTGAACAAACACAAAAACCCCCAAAAACATCACCAAACATAAGAATAAACAATCAGAAATAAGTACAAAAATACGACATACCGCTCCATATTGTGTCATTCCAGGTTCGCCCTAAAAACAAGACGACAAGGTCAGATAATTTGCAAAATGAACAGATTAATTTACCAGATTGGTAATATAAGGTGACTAAAAATAGAATTCAGATTATTTGGAACATATTCCAGAGAGAACATAACTTCGTACAAAGCGTCCTACATTACTGAAACTTTTGGATACAGTCATACGCGACCAGAAGTTAAAGAATTAAATAAATTTTCTTCATTTTTGTAGAAGTAAATAAGGAATTCATGGTTTCTGTTTTTTTGTCTATAATTATAAACTAGTTCTCCACGAACTATATAGTATATTAATAACTTAAATGTATATATGTCATTATTCCTACAGGACATAAAAATTTTCATCAAAGAACAGAATAATAATAATAATGACACCATCTTCCTAAAATTTTAAATTCAAATAACATCAATTTCATATTCGTCTATCATGAGAGGTTTGCCTTGACATTAATTTACAGATAATATCTAGTTAGTTACCTTAGCTCCATCTCGACCTGCAATTCCTGGTGCACCCTGAAAAAATAATTGGCATCGTTAAAAAAACTGTAAAAACAAAAGGATTCAACTGAAAATCGAAAGATTTTGATTTCCTATTCCACCTACCCTATCGCCTTTCATCCCGATAGGTCCCTGTATTAGAAATAATATATATTAATAATAATAAATAATAAAAGTGGCAAAGAATGGGGTTCAAAGATATTTCTAGCACTTTCAAAAGTAGGTTTTGACATTCATAGTGAACGCTCTTAACACTTGTTGAACCAAAATTGTCGTACACAACAGTCAAGCATATGCAACCACACAATATAAAAAATTATGATGTTATGATTTCAGGTTTAAAGCACTAATAGTAGTTTTTCGGGTTCGGAAAAACTTCAAACCGGGAATCCTGGAGGTCCACGAAGTCCCTGTAAATAGAAAAAGTAACGATGAATACAGTGCACGAATCTGTGGCGGGAGATTTTTTCAATTTTCGAACACAATTTTAAAAATAATAAATGAAGTAAATGCCTTTCAACAATTATTTTTGCAATGTGTGTTTGATGATGAGCACTGACTAAAGTTTTGATGACAAAGCGAATATAATTTTTGTGGTACTAAAAACGCTATGATGTATAATTAAATGCACGGACTCGGTGGCCTATTGGTTAGCGTTAGCGCGTCAGACTTGGCTATGGCGACATCGCAGGTCAAACATCGTGTTTACACACAATGCCAACCATCTCGCCAAAGAGTGTAATAAAATGGAATAGTAATGCCAAAACGACAAGATTACGGTCTTTACAAAATAATGGAGCAACTAACATACCAGTGGCTGCTTATATGGAGCCTTGCTCGGAGCGAAATTCGTATAAAAAAAAATAACACGTACGACCATGTAACCCGGGGACAACATTACCGTATGTGCGATGATAAAAACTGAACGTATAATAAGAATTACTAAGTCCAAATGGCGTTTAGGGTGAAAATATATATTAGAATGAAGGATGATGTATCATGCTTATTCATACCGGGGATCCTCTGGGACCAGCAAACATTGGCTTGGCTGCATCTCCCTGAGAGAGCAAGAAATAATTTTGGTCTCAAAATTGCTGTCGAGAGTATACGATAGCCAAATGTAATGTTAAGCATAACATGGTTAACTTACTTTTGGTCCGACTAGTCCCCTTTCGCCAGGACACCCCTAAATATTAGAAGGCATTTGTAAATAGTAATATAGATGAGCGAGTTAGCATTCGTGTTTCTTGGTTGAATTTGTCATGATTATATGAACTTGTAATGTCTGTATCTACGATAGTTTATAGATATAAAATTGCGCTATCCAGAAATATATCTGTCCTCGTTACTTCTGGGGATAAAAGTGTTCGAGGTTTGTGCGAGTAACTAACTACTCGAGGAATATTTCCCAGCATATTATTTAAGAATTGGTCATTTTATATACTAATTATACATTTACCTTTTCGCCTGGGCGCCCTGGCATTCCTATCGGCCCCTAAAATGAAATTTACAGTGGTTAGATTACAGTTTTTATTACTTGTTACATTATTTCTCTGGTGATAATTATGGAAGCATGCATTGATATGCATCACAAAAAACTTGTAAATTCAACTTGCATTTGACAAAAAAGTATTAAATGTCAAGTAAATTTTACGGTTTTTTTTTTGTGATAAAAAGAGTTTATTTAATGATAATTGTGATTGTTTAATGTTGGGTTTCAGACATAGGTCCGTTTTCGTGCTATGTGGCAGAGCTTTCATAGCGTGATGGGATGGCGATTAGGGAAGTGTTGTATACAAGTAGATCATGCTTTGGAAATGGCAATTTTTCATTCATCAGACATTGTATTCATTATAATTACTCAACTGGTTTGAACGCTTTTCATAAAAACGGGCACACTTCATATATTTTGTACTTACAGTGCAGTGCTAAACACATGCTAAAACTCGATAACATGCATTTTGAGTGTAACTTTACTTGGAGAAGCAAATTTGAATTCTTTACATTTCATATTGATATTCTAGCATGCAACATTTTGTGCCTACGAATAACTCTAATTTTACTTTAATATTTGATAAATGGTTGAAAAAATAGATGACCAGTGGTATCATTCTAGTGATCTTACTCTACCTTTCAGTATTCGACAATTTCGTGTTGAAATAAAAGAAAATCATAGGAAACTTACCCAATAACCATAAGTTCCCTCTCACTTGGCTTCGTGCATCATGCCGATCAGAAGATCAAAGAAAAGGATTTTTAACACTAACCAAAAAAAATCACACAATCTAAATTTTTAATATAACATACAATCATTCAATTCATACATACAGTGCACAGACTCAAATAAACGACTTCTTCGGTTCATCAAGTGTAAAAGGTTTTCTAAGGATGTCAAAACCACTGGGCATCTCCAGTTGTAACTGGTAAAAACCAGTTTAAACTGGCTTTGGAAGGCATAGAAGATGATACTATACCCTTGCACATATGCGCTGTGTTTCAAGCACTGCACACACGAAAAGCACGCCACGGTGTTAACAGCACAACTAGGCAGCAATGCCGAGCTGAAAACTAGTTTTTGATAACTATTTCGTGAAATGTATTCTACATTTTATTGTGCAGAAAAACGTGTTTTGCAATAATAATTTAAATATTTACTGTGTCCAACATTTGGTACAAATGTGATCATTGAATTACCATGAAAGGCCATTAAGATGTGTTTCGCATATAGAATAATATCTGCTATTTACTGAAATCCGTTTATTATTAGTATTATTTGTGTGGTAATAAAAAAACACAAAACATCTAAAATTTTGTCTACAAGTGAAGTGTTCTATATATGTTGTGAACGTACCTATCTACAGTACCGAAATGGGATGGTGTGAATCGTGAATTTATGCCGGTGAGGTCATGCATGTGATAAAATGTTATTGCGCAGCCAAAGCGGATGTTAAAAAAAGCAAGAGAATGAAATTGTAAAGAAAAAAACGAGAAAAGTTAGTAAGAACACTCAATCATGCATAGAAAAAATAGAAAGAAATTTTGAGAGAATTCAATACTAAAAGGTAATCAATTCATTTAGCCATTTTATATTAGAGAGATTGCTAAAAATTTGCTAAAATTTAAATGCGTTTGAATCGGTACAATATCAATTAATTTGCAGCATTCTATGGTTTCAATTGCATTTTTCAAATTTTATTTTCAACACCGTATTTTTTGTCCAATTATTGTCTGCAAATATATAAATTCAACTAAAAATATTTGTCGATTTATAGATATCGGAATTAGTAGCTAAATTTAGAATTCGATTATAAAAGCTCAATCAGAATATAAATTTGATTCATTTTTGATTTAAACTTGCTATAAGTTATTTTAAATTAACAAAATCAAATTTTATTACATCACAAATCAGGCAAAAGCAAAATCAAAAGATGCATCTATATTGAAAGTTCAGAAAAGAAAAAAAGTGGATTCAGAAAGAGAGGACAGTAAAATATGAATAATATGTACCGGGAATCCGTTTATGCCATTTCGACCCTGTTCCACGGTGCAGGCAACAGCAACAAGGTCAAACGTAATTTGCAGGAAATCAAAAAAATGAAAAAAAAAATACAAAGTTAGTTGGGAGTAATTAAAGCGGGGGTTCGGTTTATAAGAATGAGCAGACAGTATAGAACGAACCTATAAAGATCATCAAAGCAGAATTTATCTCTAACCAGCATTTTTGGTCGATATACATAATGAGAAGTCAGTCAAATAACCAGAAGTTAAAATAATCGGGTTAAAATTAAAGCCAGGGAAGCACGAAACGAGGTGGAACAATTCAAGAATACTCAGTTATTTGAAATACGAAAGCAAAGTCGTAAACTTCTGACATTTTCAATTATAACCACGAATACAAAGATTTAAAATTTATATAAGTTCAAATTAAATTTTGAAATATTACATTTAAATCGAATTTAACATAATTTGAAGGAAATCTATTTTTTCAACAAATCATTAAACTTCAGGCCATTCGACTGACATTGCGGTATGTTGAAAATAATAATTTGAAAATAATGCCAATTTCACATGTTTGTGATATTTATTCTACGCTACGTGAGATGTTGAAATGGTATGTTGACACGAATGTGTGTGTTATAGTCTAGGCGAGTTGTTTCATAATTATTATTTACTAATGACTAAAATGACTCCGCAACCTCAACTAAACTAGAGGTTGTGGTGGTTGAAGATTTTACAAATAACACAAAACTATTCGCAAACAAAATTGTTTGGTTATTTAACACTAATTAGAAAAGTACGAAATGACTATCGATTAGAAATTATATTTATAACGGTCGGCATGGATTGGATATGGAATTATGCAAAATTTCGTTAAAAATTACACGTATTTTGTGTAAAATTTTAAGTAAAGTTGAACGAACGCTTTGTGATGTAATAATGCGCAATTATCATGCCATGGTGGCCTCCAAGCGAGCAATGTCACCGCATGTGCGAGATAGCATGCTTTATGTACATTTGTAACCCCGTTTAGGCAATCAGATTAATAATCTAAGAATAGAAAGATTTATGTAATAAGGCAGATTGGCAACATAATGGGAAAAATAGAAAAAGACAAAAAATCCCGTCTTGAAAAAATAACCAGAAAGAGAGCAAAATTTTGTTAAGTTAAATAAGACAATTCCACGTCTAATGATATCACTAAAACGAGCTGAGAAAACGGCTCTTCTCTTAATTCGCCTCCCCGTTTTCTCAGCAACCTGTGATTCACAAAGCGATGGACAGCCTGAAGCACATGAGATATATGTGGACTTACCGCAACACCTGTAAAATACGAAAATACGGATTAAATCAAGGAATGGGTGGAGAAAATATTTAGCTAAACATTCTACGCTATATCTAACAAATACTACATTCTACCACCATAAACTGAAATTACTGTGCGTGTGCATGAATTAATAACGGTGCATGTATGGCCAAGTGTGGCGATTTGAAAATCAAATTGATGAATTTATACAGCCGGGAATCAAGCGCTTATGAATTTTCCGGGTAAAATCACCACACTCGGCCAACCATAAGAGCGCCAAAATGAGGTCCCACTTTGGAACTAATGCGCAAAATTTATCTTTGAATCATACTTGATAAAGCTAGGAACAACCATGGGTCTTTTTCTCAAGTTTCAATCAAGGTCACCATAATTATCAAGTATGATCACGTATGATAAATTTTGATTTACAGTGCTACGTATTGCAGGTCTGGAGATATTCGAATACTACACGACTCGCGGTTCGAATTCTCTTTTTTTATAGGAATTCAAATCACCAATTCGCGTAAATTCGAAAATGTACCAGCCCCAACGATACGCTGACAATGACACCGTCGTTCTTAATGCCTAAATCACCATGTGCGGCGCCAGAGGGCACTTGATTGGCAAGCTACTTCATAACACAAACTGTTTGAATTAGAAGAGATGTGCTTTTGTTCGCTAGTTCTTCCATAATTTGTCATGCAAATTATGCACAGTAGTGTAGTAGTAGTCTTCTCAGTCATCTAATGCACTCCACGCATGCATTTTTCTACCCCATTTTAGCCTAGTTAAGTTAACATTACCCCTTCTTCCCCGCCGACCTTTATCTCCTTTGGGCCCTGAAAAAGAATAAAAAAAAGATTGAGTACAGTATTTGGGTAAAGAGAAAAATACAAAGAAGTCAAGAGCACTTTACGATTTCGATTAATTTATATTAGTTGTTAAATTATTAGTTATTAGTTCGTGTTTCGAACAAACCCGAAACAAATATGATGTATTGATATGCAGTGTTGGATAGAAGTCCCGTAACCCCGAGTCGCGAGGGAGAACGAGTCACGACTTATGCGAGTCATGTTCGAGTGAGAATCACTGCGCTAAGTCGTATTGGCGGTTGGGTAAGTGCGATGCCGAATCATTTAATGATAAAGTGTGACTTTCTTAAATAGAATATTTTCACTTTACGAAAAGCCGACCTCGTTACGTCTAGTGCGCTATCCATTAGAAAGAGCATCTTTTACTGACAATCAAACCTTGTGAAAACGATCGCAGGCCGCAATCGGGATATCGCTTTGGGTTCAAGCGGAGCATATTTGACTAGTGAAGGTATTATATTTAACTGGAGGTCAGAATTACTAATAAACAATGATGTATTATCTAGCACTAAGTCCTTTAGCAAACAAAATTGTTTGTCTTGCAACCTATGCTGTAACAACATAACAATCAATTAGGACGCCGCTTCTGTTTACGTTCGACGGAGAATTCGATTGTCCTCTTCATAGAGGATGGAATAGGATGATTGAACAATGAATAAATTGGAGAAACGTGAGCAAGCAAAGCGATTTGTCGTTTGATAAGATACCATCAAGCGTAGCATGCGTACGGTAGTTGTGAGTAACAATATTTATTTGCCCCAGCGCTCGTAGAACATAGCAAGCACCAACTAAATTATGGTGTTTTGAAGACGACGAAAAATACTGGCCGACCAGTGTGACCTTTTGATTGATTTACCCCGTCGACACAACTGATGATAAATTAGGTTTCTGAAGCTGGCTTCTAACACTAACTTATTCGCCCTAACCTAATACTGATTGTACACGTTTTTAATGATAAACATCGAACGTCCTTACATTTCTCTTAAAAAAATAACCTTGGACAATCAGTATTAGCAAGTGCAATTGAAAAAACGGTTTGCTGTATGTTTGGAACTTTTGCACTCATTTTACCGCTCATGTTCTCAGTTAGGTAAAGGGACGACGCTGGTCGCTTAGTCTGAGAGTCCCGCGCGCTTAGAAAGGATTTAGATCGGTTTGACAGAACGGTTCTTATGAAGAGTCCGATTAGAGCAGGAATCGTCTTTGTCGTGTATGTTTTATTAAATATGTTAAATACAAATCCAATACACAATTTTCCCCATGTACAACGTAAATGTCATTCGCAAACACATTTGTGGCATATAGATGTCAAACAGATGTCTTTGTGGCGTATGAAGATGTCATGGGCAAATCTTAACAATAGCAACCGAACCTTTTACACTACAAAAATTTTCACACTCCGAATCAAATGAATACGTATTGCTTAAAACATGGCGCCGCAATGTCCCAAATAATACGTAAATACATTTATGCTAGCCAGGTCACGTGTTTTGTTATTTTTGTAATTACATCATTTCAATAAGTTGGCAAATTCCACTGGAAGGCGAACACCACCCTAAATATTCATAGCGACTCAAAAATCCTTTCACGCGCGCACGCGAGACCAATTCAAATTCAACCATAAAAACCGCATCCAAAATCAAGTAAAATATAAAATTGAAATGCACGTGTTATTAAACATGGTTCAAGCATAGAAATCTCAAATTTGGTCGTTTTATCTACGAAAATGCTTGGAAGAGTGGTATGGTCAATTGACATTGCGGTATAGTCTGTGTTATTCTAGGTGGATGCCTAGTGTTGACATAGGTTAGAGAGCATGGTGATGCGCTTATCAAAACGTTTATGGAGTTAAAACGACAACCGAATTTTATCGGAAATTCAGAACCATCGTGAGTTACAAAACTCACTACAAACTACCAAACAACAAAATTTATTCAAATGCTATTTGCAATATCATTATGGTGTTATATCTTCTCTTCGGTAAGCGTCTATGGTAGTTACTGGCACGTAAAGAGATTTAAAAGGATTAGAATCTTTTTATTTTGGCGTGGACTACCGAATTCCCTAGTTCTTAGATCACGCACGGGGCAGGGAACTACTGCACTGTCATATCCCAAACCCCAACGTCATCACATGCATTTCTTATTATTTCTCTACAAGGTCAATCGTCTCCAATATGCAAGAAGATATTTTTTTGGTAGTACCGGAATCTACCCAGACATTGCCTACTCAATTTATAAAACCAGTGTCAAAAAGCGCTCCAAAAGTGTGTGTACCAATATGAAGGTAACTAATTTTGTTCTACTACGTTACATCAAGTTGTATAAAGGGACTGAATCCTATGGGCAAGGAGTGGTATATTCACTTGGCTAACACGGACAGTTCCCGAACTCGTAATAGAACTAAAATAAGGAAAACCTTAACCTAGTACACACACTACGGGAGTACCTGTCAAACTCACTAACCCCTGTAGTGACATATTCATCATTACAAACCACTCGAATATCAGAACGCAAAACAATGGATAATATTTAGTGTTGACGGATGGAAAGTTTACAAAGCAAAATGCAACAATAAGGAACAGCTGCAAGTTCAGCGGTGATGCATTCAACGCGCACGCTAGCTATCGTGTGTTTATATAAACTTGCAAATAGTGACCCGTAGGCCCAGTGCGACACACACGGCAAACGTATCAATGGGTCAACGTAGAAGTGGTTGACCGACCCGATTTAAACGCTTAAACGAACGATAATGGCCAAGCCCTGCGTAATTAAACTTTTGAACGACACTTCATACACCATATACTCTGCAGTGAGGTATTACGCGATGAAAGATAGTGAACCCGCACAGAATAAAAAATGCATTCGTCCATACATGGATGTCGAAAAATGTAATATCAATACAAGTTGGATCAGATACCGCAAGAGTTAGGAACTTGAGTAAATAATTGAATCAGCTTCGCTGCAAGGTTACGACAAATCTTCATAATAAGAATTTGTGACGAGTTTGTATCTAGTTAACTATGTTGACACAAAATTCTTAACTTGTTCTAATGAAAGGCTGCAATCAAATTCAAGGACCACTCTAACTAGAAATAGTTCCATTTCATTTCATTTTAACCGACTTTACACCTGACCTCTCCAGTTTATAAACGGCCAAGTATGAGCCATAGATAGATCGCATCGCCGAGGTGCAATCTATCTATGGCTCATACTTGGCAAAGAATAGTTATAATCCCTTTCATATTGTCTGGATCAAGAATCAAATCTTCGGGGTAAATATCAATAACTGTGCTACTCGAAAGTCATTGAGGCAGATGGGTAAACAGGTTTAAAAAGCGTGAGAAACAAATTTTATGATGTCACAATCAATTTAGTGACGTCATACAGTATTTTAGTTGGCCGGGCATTCGAGTTTGAGTTTAAATTTAAAAGAAAAATTAGTGTTTAGTTCACCGCATATCTCAAAGCTTAAAATATAATTTGGTGTTGATTTTTATCATAATGATTTATTGGATAACAAAAATTTAACCGCCCCGCGTAAGGTGATGAGCACCGTAGGTGATGGATATTAGAACTTGGAAACGCTTCATTGTTTTCTCATAAATCGATTTCAATTTGGGGTGAAAAAAGGATTACTTCAAACTGATTTGGATTTGAGGCGTTCAGAAGTCTAGAAGTAGGATTAAGATATGGAAAGTAATTTACTGAGTCTATGAAGCGTGAAATCGAAGCAAAATACGATAGGTGTGGTCTTCCCCATTTCAAAACAAGACCTTGAACTTACTTTATTCTTTATTTTATTTTTTTAATTTATCAACATATTAAAAAACTTGCTACTTCAACAAGGTTAGAGGTTAAATTATAACATTGCAAACAAGTGTTTTTCTGGTTTGTTGGCGTCTGTCACCACAATTTTATAGACTTATCTATGTTTTTATATTTGCCTGATAATATCTACAAGTGTAACAGTGTATCTTATAGTTTAAACACTGCAAAATTGTTCTTTTTAATAAAGTCTTGGATTTAGCTGGGCTGGCATAAGAAATTACAAATCTTGGGGTAAAATCTCATGAACCCGCCTTACCCAGGGTGTAAAAAACTGGGAAGGTAATGCCAGTGATGGCTACCGCCTGTATATAGCCCTGTTCGTAGTAATAAGCGTCGTCGTATGAAAATGCCAAAATTATAAACGTTAGGGCATTGCTGCCCGATTTCACACGAATACAGCTATCTATCAAGTTGGTTCATTAAAATCGTAACCCATTAGGTCTGTCAAAAATCGCGAAACATTATTCTAATTGCGTCCTGTTTCAGACAGTTTGGTATAAGTTATAAGTGCTAATCAGTTGAGGTTGACAAAGTAAGACATCATTAGGTAACGGGGTTCTATTTCACCCAAAAATATTTACTTATCGCGGATCGACCAATCAATTTGACAGATTCATAATATCGGACTTGTATTGGTCAAACAACAGTGCTGACCGGTGCTGGCTACAGCGGCATGAAAAAGACGTCCAGGGAACAAACACCCACTTCCCCGGTTTACATATACTCTACGTCTGAGATCATGAGAGCAGTTTTGCTGAGATTGAGATGGTAACCAGTAAAAGGTTTATTTTTAGAAACGTAAAATTCTTTACAATACAAACAAACAATCAATCTTAGATTTAAATGCGAATGTTTGCAGCAAAGAGTAGCAATATATGGTAACGTGCAATGTTATGCAGATCACACGCGAATCGGTCATACTGTGATATCATTTTTATTTTTTCGTATATTTACCTCGAAACCCAATTTTAGGATTTAAACTTCAAAAAATTATGAAATCTAGTGATTTATTAGACAAATCAGACGAAAGCGGTAACCAGGTTAATTCCAGGTCACAGAAACAGGATATTTGGAACAAACCAAAACTGATTTTACTTAAGCTGTTTGTGTTATTGTTAACCGTTTTAGACACTTTAG